GGTAATCATCAATGAAGAGTTTCAGACTCTGGCATCCCCAGGTGGAGCCAGAACAGGACCCTATCTGAAACCCTGCAGAGAGCCACTGCCCATCAGTGTAGACCAGGGGTTGTCAACCTGGTCCCTACTGCCCACTAGTGGGCGTTTCAGGATTCTAGGTGGGCGGTAAGGGGTTCTACAGCACAAGCTGAATCCTCCTTCCATCGAGCACTGGTGGGTGGTAAGGAAATTTTACCATCAAGAAAGATGCATTAGTGGGCAGTAGGTATAAAAAGGTTGACTACCCCTGGTGTAGACCATACTAGACTAGATGGACCAATGGCCTGTCTTGGTATAATCCTAGTCAGTAGACATGACGTGCAAACTGGGCCATTATGGGGAAGATAGTCGAGATACTTTAAGCCACTGTTTGATGTAGAAGCTGGAATTTTAGTGCTAAAACTCTCATTGCCATCCACAACACCAGCTTCACAAACAAGTACACAGATGTTGCTAATGTGTCTGCCCACAAATACATGTCAGTCATATGTGGCACTCTTGTTACCTTGAAAGGAAAGGGAAAACACCATCATTCTCTTCCATCTTACAGAAGCTTACCTGCTCAATTGCCTGGAGATTATTTCAACTCACCATAGGAGAGTGGCTTTTTCACAAAGCTACTCTCAGCTCATATATCTCACTGCCTCATGCTGTAGCCCTGTGAATCAACTACAATACCTTTTATTTGAGCTCCCGTGTGGTTGAACCCATTTTGCCCTGGACCCTTTCAGAAAGCAACAAATCCAAATCCAAATTGATACGTAATTGTTACCAGTCGCACTGAAGAAATGGTGGGAAGAGTGTAATTTTTTTTCATTTAAAATGATAAATGGGAAAAAACCCATTTACATGAACAATGTGCTTTTTTAAAAAAAAGTGGGGTGGGGTGGGGCATGATGCAATTGCCAAAACACAATGCAGTCCATTACCCTACTAGAGCCACAAATTATATTATAAAACGGTAACAGAAACTAAGCAAGGGAGCCAGGTCACATCTTGAATGCAGACACCATTTTTCACATTCTGAAAGTAGCCACACTGAAGTCATTTGCTCACGCGCAACATCTGTTTTACTGGCATGCACTTAAAAAAAAAAAACAACGAACAGGAAAAAGTCAATCAAGTCCCCTTCTCCTTCCCTCCACCTTCCTCCCCCCACCTTCTCAAGATGTATAAGAGTCCTTTCATATGGCCAGCATTTACTTTCACCAACATCTCCCTAAGTTATAGACATAATAAAAAGGATCTCTGTGTCTCTCTTTCGGTAAGGATCTCTTTATGTGAAGCTGCCTGGCAAGTCCGTGAAACAAAGTTTCCCAGACGTTACTGGTTTATCAAAAAGGAAAGAAACCAAAAAAGGAGGGAGGAGAGACTCCTTCCGAGATCTAATTTCATCCCAACATCTCTCCAGGGTATCCTTCCTATTTTTAATGGCTAAGAAGATCCTCAAGCCTGAATCTTCAACCTTGAAAGGATATGTCCCGTAATATTTTTTAGCTTCCATTTGTATAAATCTTTTGTTCACAACCCCAATGCACACCTATAGGTGTATACAAACTGACACCTTCTCTTATCTGCTTCGGGCTTTTGCCACAGGATGTATGAGAAACCCTTAAGGTGCTATAGGCTTTGCAGAGGTTTCTTGTGGCAAACTACTGCGTCCGCTTGAGTTGACATTTCTCAACTCCCCACCTTAACAAAAAACAGAATTGTACAGTGGAAGGGCAGCAGCTGGATGCTTCAGCGTGTGGGAAACTGCTTGAGAAGGCATTAAGAGTCAAACAAATAAACTGAGTCGCCAGCATCATTTCTGTGTCTATTCCTTGGGGAACCAGAGAGACAGAGAGAGAGAAGACAGAGGGGATGTTAAGCGAGTTAAAGTTTATACAAATGCCAAACTTCTAGTTGCCTCTATTGCTTTTCCACACAGCTCTGCTTCTGATCCCAGAGGATACTGCAACTCTTTGCCCAAGTGATTTTTTTTTCTGGGGGTGCGGAGAGTTGGGAAAGGAAGGAGAAGGCTAGGTTAAGGCATCTCTATCCAGTACTCCCATTACCACTGCTGCTGCCTGAACAGAGGATGTTTGAAAACCTCCCAAGAATGCAGTCCTGAAAGACAGACATCCTACTATACGCAGCCCGTTTGCCTTGCCCTGTTTGAAATGCGGTTAACAGGCCACCAGGATACAATATATACAACCCTATATACTTACAGCTTGTTTCCCTTTCCAATGTTGACTAAAAGATGAAGTTCTCTAAAAAGCACTAAATCGGAAACCACACACGGGTCTTGCAAGTCTGCATTCTTTATAGCACTTTAATTTTCTATTCTTGGGTCATGATCTGCAAGGAAAGTCACACCCCAATCTACTAATATAAATACTAGCAACGTACGCACTTGTGGCTTGACTTTTAAAGTGCTTGAGGTGTTTTGCACACTTACAACAACCCTGTAAGGTAGATCACTACCACTGTCCCCTTGCAGAAGATGAAACATTAGGAAGCTGCCTTAAACTGAATCAAACCACTGTTCCATCTAGCTCAGTGTTGTGTACACTGGTTGGCAGCAGTCTGCAGGGTTTCCAGCAGGGGTGTTCAGCAGCCCTACTTGGGAGCAGCCAGGGGTTGAACCCAGGATCTTCAGGATGCAGATGCACTGAGCTATGGTCCTGCGACCTTCTGCATGCCCCACAGATGCTCTCCCATGCAACACGCCAAAAGGTTTGCCATGGCAGAGGTGAGATTCCAACTCAGGGCTTGCAACTTCATAGAATCACATGTGTCTCTCTCTTTTGTTCTGGGGTGTTGTTGTTGTCCCCAATGAAAGAGGGGGTGGGGGAGAAGATGCAAAAGAAGGTAAGGCAAAAAGCCAGAAAGATAGAAAGATAGAGAAGGAAAAAGGCAGGCTTTGGGGGGAAGGAAGGATGCCCCATATTTTTTTCTGGTCTGTTGTATGAAAAGATTCAAAGTGACAGCTCTAACACCACCCCTTTCTGCATCATGGAAAAGCAAAGAGAGTCTTAGAATCATAGAACTGTAGAGTTGGAAGAGACCACAAGGGATATTTTACCCAAAGTGGGGCTCAAACTCAAGACCCTGAGATCAAGAGCAGAGCTGCAACCCTACACGGCCACGTCACAGCAAGTCCCCTGAAAGAGGATTTCCTCCCAAGCAGACATGCATAGAATTGCAATCTTACAAATTTGCATATGCTAGTCTTCGCCTAGATGTGCTGACTGGGGGTGGCGGGAGTTGTTGTCCAGCACATCTGGGGGCGGGCACCACGTTGGCGAGGGCTGGTGCATGCCTGCATGTCCTAGATGAATGATGCGCTGGCCTGGAGAGATGCGGTGCTCCGAGAGGTTGTGGGGTTGCAACTGTATATCACCTGGCTGCTCAGCCAGCTAACAAAATCTCACAATGGTTTGGGGAGGCGGCCATCCCCTTATGCTCCCCATGCCTTCCCCACAACACATGCGCCTCTACCCTAGAGGACAACTTTGCCGCCTTCCCCACCCGCAACCTCAGGCACGGTTTCCTTTCCTTTATTTCTTTCGCCTGAAGCCACACACCTTCCTTCCATTGACTGACACTGATCCCGGGCACCTTTTCAGAATCGCCAGGGAGAGCGGCCTATTCGTGCTTCCGTCTCCACTACCCACTCCCTCCGATTTTCGTCTGGTGTGCCCTATTTTTAGATAGGACAACCAGCTCCATATTTTGCTACCACACACAAACAAACACACCCCTTTCCCAGCTTTCTTTTCTTTCATTCTCTCCCCCCCTCCTCTCTTTTTTTAGAAGCTTGGTGCACGGGAAAAGAAACCGGGGTCCGGGCCCTCCTCTTGGCACGTAACGTCTGAACGCGTCCCGTCTCCCGCCAACCCGACCCACACTCAGCCTCTCACCCCCCAGGCGCCCACCTCCGGCGATCCCCTTTGCAATGAATGGAGAAGGAGAGAGATGGAAGAAAGGCGGACGGGCGGGAAGGGAATGCCGCGGACCCCAGGCGGGGTCTCTCTGGCTCGCGTTCCCGGGAAGCAACAAGCGGCCGCCGCCGCCGCCGCCGCCGCCTCGCTCTCCCGCCTCAGCCGCCGGGAAGGGAGGCTTGGGCGCGCTCTTCCCCATCCCCGTTATCCGAGCCCGGGCGCTGCGCACATGGGCTGCACGCCCGCCCAACCGGGGAGCTTCACACCCCCCGCGGGAAGGGCTCCTCTCCCCTCCTCACTCACCGAGGGTCTCCCCACAGCCACGGCCATGCTGCTGCTGCTGAGTGGGGCGAGGGCGACGACGACGAGGCTCCGGCCGCTGCTGCTGCTGCTGCTCGCCTTCTTCCCCGGCGCCTGACGCGGCTGCTGCTGCTGCTGCCGCTGCCCCTCCTCCCGAGCGCCCTCCCCGCTCGCATGAAAAGCAGCCTCTGGCTTCGCCTGCGCTCGCGATTATAAGCGGCAAACATGGCCACCCGGTTGGAAGCGACCATTCGCTGGCGAGAGGGGTGGCTGGAGTGGGGACGTGCGCCTCTGTGCAATAGGGACGGGTGCGCGGGCGGCGGGGGTCGCGAGGCGGCCTCCCCCCCCCCCGCTCCCCTCAACCCCGTTTTGGACCGCCGCGCGCGCGCACGCGCGCTCGGAAGCGCCTGCCCCGAAAGGTGCGCGCGAAGAACTGAGGGGGCCGGGAGGCGCCTCGGGGAGAAAGGCGCTTTCCCTCGACGGGGCTGGAGGAGCCATTGGCGCCAGGAAGCCCCTTCGGCGGGGGGCTCGGGCCCGAGTCCGTCCGGGCAGAGCGCGCGAGCGGGGACGGCTCTTTCCTCCGGGAGAGCCAGGCGGGCAGGCGCGGGGAGGCGGCGGGTGTTGGGGGGCTGAATTTCCCCCCTCAGCCTTCATGGGTGCGCCGCCGGGCATGGGAAAGGACCTCGCGCTCTCCCCTCGACTGCTGCTGACGGCGGGAGTTGGGCAAGGCGGGGCCGTGGCTCAGTGGCAGAGAGCGTCCGCTTGGCGCGCGGAAGGCTGCGGGTTCAATCCCAGGCAGGGTCGCTGCCAGCGTGGGAAGACTCCCAAAACCAATTTCTAAGGGAGCCGCTTAATGATGTCCTTCCGATGCTGGGCCTTACACCTAGGCAGACCATTGGTCCACCATGTTCAGTGTTATCTACAGCAGGCAGGGACGTACCTAGAGTTGGGGAGCCAAGGGCTCAAGCCCAAATGGCACAATAGTAGCTAGGAGCTTGCCCACTGGTGCATTCCCCTTCATTGTGTTTTTATTCCATCCTCTAGTCCAGGGGTCAACAAACGTTTTCAGCAGGGGGCCGGTCCACTGTCCATCAGACCTTGTGGGGGGGCCGCACTATATTTTTTTGGGGGGGGGGGAATTGAATGAATTCCTATGCCCCACAAGTAACCCAGAGATGCATTTTAAATAAAAGGACACATTCTACTCATGGAAAAACATGCTGATTCCTGGACCATCCGCGGGCCGGATTTAGAAGGCGATTGGGCCAGTTCTGGCCCCCGGGTCTTAGTTTGCCTTCCCATGCTCTAGTCCAGTGGTTTCCAATCGTTTTTTTGGCCATGCACCACCTAAGCATCTCTAAAATCCTGATGCCCCCCCATGACCACTGGCGGAGGAAGGGAGATGTGGGGGGTACAGTCTGCCCTGGGTGTCATCCCCGAGGAGGGTTGACATCGCCCCCTGCCTCCCTGGGACGCTCGCCACGGGCGCCCCCGTGCTTGCAGACCCGCCCCCGTGACATGCTCACCCCACCCTAAGGTGCACATCATGTGCGCCTCTCTGGGTGCCAGAGCAGCTAGCTCCTCCTCTGCCTGTGACATTTAATTCTTATGATTTAAAAAGTGGTCTCCTATTCATGTGGAGGAAGCCTAAAAGGCCATTAACTGTGAATAACTCATTCTCGAATTGCCCCCCCTTAAAAATCAAATTGCCCCCATGTTGGGAACCACGGCATCTAGTCTATTGTGAATGTTGCACAAGAAAGCACAACGTGAGAAGTGAAAGAAACAGGAAGGTGCCATTCAAAAGCAGGGTGGCTTATACTGAATGCCGGTATCCTTTTTTTAAAAAAAATAATAATAATATTTATTAATAATTTCAGAATGACAGAGAAAATAGAAAATAAAAACAACAACACTACAATACATAAAAAGAAGAAAAAACGCAAAACATAAAAACCAATACAACAATACAATAAAAAAAATATAAAAAAAGGAAAAAAAGACACAAATCCCATATTGCATATCTTTAACTTCCATTTGCTTGTTTCGTTGACCTCCTCACACCTCCCTTTTTGTATTCTAGTTTAGAATGCCGGTATCCTGCGGACCCCCAGCATGAAGATCACGGACCACTGGTGCATCATGGATCACAGTCTGGAAACTCCTGGTGTCAGAAGATTTCCTTGCGCCCTTGGCAAAGAGCGGCCAGGGGAATGCACCAGTGGGCAGGCTCCTAGCTACTCTGAGCCAGAGTGGAGAGGCGCAATTTTGTGCCATTTGGTCTTGCGCCCTTGGCTCCCAACCTCTAAGTACGTCCCTGCCTGCTGTAGATAATACTGAACGTGGTGGACCAACGGTCTGCCTAGGTGTAAGGCAGATTCATATATTGGGAGCTTCACAGCACGTTCCTTTTTTTATTTTAGAAAAACACAATTATTTCTCTTTCATAAAGAATTTCGTTCTAGATTGCACAAAAGGTCCCTCTAGGCCAACATCCTAGGCAGGCTGATGTTGGCAGCAACAACTTTTCTGTCCGGATTTTCACTGTTTGAAATATGGCAACCCTAAATAATGTGATGGTCCAGTGGTTGGACAGGCCTTTCTGACTGCCCACTTCCACTGGCACGCCCAAAAATATTGTTGGCTGATGACTTCTTAACTTTTTGATAATGGCCAACCGCAAAGAATTCTCAAAATGTCGTATTGCCAGTGCAAGTTACTTTGATGCAAAGCACCAAGGATGCAAAAATAAAATTAGTGTGGCTGTACCACTTTTTGCCGCCACTCTGCAGTACACTTGGTGCATGTTGGGGCCGAACTCATCAATTTCTTCTGATTACAATGCTGTTTGACATTTTATTGTAATTTCATATATCATTGGGCATTGGTTTTATACTTCATGTGAGTGGGTGGAATATAAATACTTCTACAGGAACATGAAAGGAAACTGCTGACAGACCTGCAATCCCGATACTGTGCTCAGCATCTGACTCACTGAGTCTCTCTCTCTGTGTGTGTGTGCCTCAGTTTCCACATCTGTGAAATGCTAACTATGGCAACATTGCAGATGACACAACCGTGATTGGGCTCATCTCTGAAAGGGAGGGTGAAACGGATTATAGAGATGAGGTGGAGCGGCTGACAGAGTGGTGCAGAGCTAACAACTTGCTCATAAATACAAGGAAGACAAAGGAGCTTGTGGTGGACTTCAGGAGACAGAAGAGCAACGTCCAGCCACTTTTGATTGATGGGGTCTGTGTGGAGAGGGTAACAACGTTCAGATTTTTGGGCATTGAATTACAAGAGGATCTGTCCTGGAGTGTCAACACAAGGGGGCTTGTGAAGAAGGTGCAGCAGAGACTGTACTTTTGAGAATACTAAGGAAAAACCATCTTCCGCAGAAACTGCTGCTTGCCTTCTATCACTGTGCCATTGAGAGCGTGCTCACTTATGGCTTATGTGTGTGGTACGGAAACTGTACTACCCAGGACAGGATGGGGTTGTGCAGGGTTGTTAAGGCAGCAGAGAGCATTGTTGGCTGCCCACTCTCCACCTTAGAGCAGATTTATGCCACAAGGTGCCATAGGAAGGCACTGGACATAGTAAAAGATCCATCGCATCCTGGTCACTGTCTCTTCGAGCTCTTGCCGTCAGGACGGAGATACAGGACGATGAAGACAAGAACGAGCCGTCTTAAGAACAGCTTCTTCTCCAGAGCGATCTCGGCCCTGAATGGGAAGCCCGGACTTTGAAAGTCATCTAATCTCCCTTGCTGTATTATACTGTATTGATTAATTAGTGTTTTTATGGAGCAGTCAAGTAATTTCGTTGTCCCCGAAGGGGGCAATGACAATAAAGATATTATTATTATTATTATTATTATTATTATTATTATTATTATTTATTATTATGCTGTAAACAAACGAAAACAAATAGTGTACAAAACAAGTTTTCATTGGTCACGGTCTAAAGTCCAAACTAGATGTTGTATGTGGTGTGTTAACTCCCCAACACTTGAAAAATCAAGAGAGGTCACTAACCCTTTCCCCTCTTTTGACTTCCTGCCATGCATGTTTGTTGCGAGGCAAGTTCTGAAGCAGAACCACTGTCCTACCCAAACCCCATTTGCGATGCAATCTGCCTTCTGTCTCTTAATCGGTATGGAACTCATGATGACTGCTATTTAGAGGTTGATGACATAACATGTTGTTGTTGTTTAGTCATTTAGTTGTGTCCAACTCTTCGTGACCCCATGGACCAGAGCACATCAGGCACTCCTGTCTTCCACTGCCTCCCGCAGTTTGGTCAAACTCATGCTGGTAGCTTCGAGAACACTGTCCAACCATCTCGTCCTCCGTCGTCCCCTTCTCCTTGTGCCCTCAATCTTTCCCAACATCAGGGTCATTTCCAGGGAGTCTTCTCTTCTCATGAGGTGGCCAAAGTATTGGAGCCTCAGCTTCAGGATCTGTCCTTCCAGTGAGCACTCAGGGCTGATTTCCTTCAGAATGGATCGGTTTGATCTTCTTGCAGTCCATGGGACTCTCAAGAGTCTCACTGCCTTGCTGTGGCGAAGGGGCTTGAATAACTCAGAGAAGCTATGAGCTATGCCATGCAGGGCCACCCAAGATGGACAGGTCACAGTGGAGAGTTTTGACCAAATGTGATCCACCTGGAGCAGGAACTGGCAAGCCACTCCAGTATCCCTGCCAAGAAAACTCCATGGACAAAGACCACATAACATAGTTTTCTTATATATTTCATCTGCTGATAGTTGAAATATGATTTATTGATGGTTGGTATTTTGTTTTGACCCCCCTTCCTGGACATTTGCAAGACAAACATCTAATCTGCCAGTCCTGATGATGATTACAGAGACTTCAAACGCAGCAGCAGGATCTGCACAGAAGCAGGGCTGATAAAGCAATGTTCATCCTGCCTAGGATGCTAATTCAACTTGTCTTGATAGAACCTACCTCCTCTGTGAGGTTTACTTCCTATCTTCTTCTAGGTTTTCGCTGGGGAAGTTTCCAAGACAGGGGTAGCCATCTTAGTCTGTTGTAGCAAACACTACAAAGAGACGTCCTTTGGCACTTAAAACCAGACTATCAAATTTTTGTGGCATCTGAGTCACGGGAGATGTTGGTGCATGGAAGCCCTCTGGTGGTCAAACCAAAGGGTGCTTTTCTGCAGTTCTGTGCATCTCCTCAATTCCTTCGCTGCTGAAGCATCTTCCCAGTGCCTGTGCATTTGCCAGCATTAGACTATTCACGATTATTTCCCCTTTCTTCCTCTCCCCTTCCAAGCAGCTTTCTGCAACAGTATCTGAAGCTGCTTAAAAAGCACCAAGAAGAAAACAGGAAAGCTACACTGAGATTTCAACTTAGTGAAAATTGAGCGTGGTGATTAACGCCTCAGAGATCTCCAATCGGAAGTGGTACAGGCCAGGACACAGATAGTGTGAAATAGTTTAAGGCAGCTTTCTATGCTCCTAAAATATTACAGAGGCGGTTTTGCTCCTTTTGCACAATTTAAACCAATTTCAATTTTTCTCAGTGCAGAATTTGGGCTCTCCTGGTGCAGAGCTCTGATTTTCTTTTTATGTGCAGAAGATACCGGTCTCTCGTTCTCTCTCTTCACTCCTCTTTCCGTGGAGCACAGATGCACATAATGCATTTTATTTGTATAATTTATAAATGAAAGGAAGCCCATTAAATCAACTGCTGAAATAACACACACAGTCGTTTCCTTGATAAGCTCGCAGAGGTGGAGAGGAGGAATTCCTGTGCTCGGGCTCTGTGATGAGG